TTTCCTGGGACAGAACCCAAAAGACCAAATTCTTGAAAACTGTCATCAGTAAATTTAAGGTTTTGCACAAATGCAACAGCTTGCGCTCCCAGAGTGCTATTTAAATTTATTTGAGCTCGGGTCCAAGTTTTGAACTCTGCAATGGGACCCAACGAGACTCCAATTAAACGAGTATAAAAAGGGGGGGGGTTAAACGGTGTGGCTAACAACAGGCAGAATTAATCTTGCCTAGTCTGTTTGGCCCAAGTGATCCACATATTTTCTCTCTTGTCAATGTCAAGGATTCCAGATACTTCAACAACCAAAACACTGCTTAATAAAAACATTGAGGCCCACCACATATTTCTCAGGTTTTTGAATGCCCTGTTTAACATGAAAGAAACAATCTTAATTCTAAACATAAACTATAACTTCTAATAAACTAACTTCTGATAAATCTAACTTCACACTTATAATATTTCAACTTATTTTCTCTGAACTCTACAAAATTAATTTTCATCAGAACAGGATTCATCACGGATGTTCCAGGCAAACTGTTGTTGTTCACGTTGTTATCACTGCGGGTTGATATCTTTTTCATCTATTTTTAAAATTCTGTTTCTGCCTTTTCACACGACTTCTTGGTTGGATGGGTAAAAACACTCACTCAAGTAGAATTTCTCAACAGAAATTCTACGTTGGGGCCTCCCTCTTTTTCTTTTGCCATTGAAAGACAATGGCAAGATGAACAGAAAAATCACAGGCATTACTAAAACGTATTAAAACTTAGTAAAAAAAAAATTCTATAACATCATTAAAAACACACTTATAAAAAAAAACTCAAAGCCCACGATCTTCTGTGGGTGAAACACAAATCTTTGCACAATCCACTTTTGCTGTGCATCCTCTGATCCACTTGTGGAGAGATCAGTGCCCTCTTGCAATTGATAAGTTCCACATTCTTCACTGAAATCCATCCAGATTCTGCACCTGTTAAAACACAAACAAACCCAACACCCCCACAGGGACTGGAGGGTCCTCTCTCAATTCTGTTCCCTAAAACTTGCATGAAGAAATGGAAATATCAACATCTTTGTTATAAACATGAAAAAACATTAAAAACAAAACAATGCACATAGTAAAGAAACTAACAACAAATAAAAATCAATCAGATAATACACAATTAATATTACATATAAAATCACAGTTACCAAGTGCTACACTATCAAATTGTCATCCCAGAGTCTGCAGCAGCTGAAAAACCTTACAACAACAGAGATTTGGATAAAACATGTCCGGATCATGTCTCTCCAAACTCCCTTTGAGGCTCAGCTGTCCTGTATGGTCAAATTGTCAAGCCAAAAGGACTTGAATACTTTTTTGATGCAGAAAACATCTGGATCAATCACACCATCCACGTAGAGCCAGAGCGTGGCCAGAGCTCGAACTCTAATTGGAGGATATGTTTAAAACAAAAGTCTTAAAAATAACAGTTATAAGTGAAAAACCTTATTATTAAAAATTTATCAAAACATCAAATAATTGAACCTGTCTAAAATGTCTTTTTAAAACAAAAATTCTCTAAATACAACAAACCTTTTCTTCAAAAATCTGAAAATTTGAAGTCTGAAATCTTGAACCAGAACTTGGACTATAAATTTTTAAAAGAAGATGAACTGCAGCTGCATAGAAGATTGGATAAAGAAAACACATGAGTAGTTAAAAAATCAAACACACAGGATCCTGAAAAATACATCTTACAATCAATCACCTAAAAAAACCCAATAAAGCATATGAAAACTGACTGTAAATATTAAAACAACACCTCAATATCTTAACATCTTAATAATAATTCTTATCACAAAAATCAGACAACTTACATTATATGATCAGCTTATCAACAAGAAATGTTTAAAATAGTTTAAAACAATCTTTTCAAAGCATTCATATAACATTAGTAACAATCACTACTTATCATTACCTATAAAAACTTGACAATTATCATTTATCTTATTATCTATAAAAACTCAAAAACAGAAATTGTGAACTCAATGCCAACATTCCATCTGACTGACTTTTCTCAAATCTTTGTTTTCAAAGACATTTTTGGCAATTAAATCATTATTAACATTTCTATCTTTTTTTTTACAGTAATTTTCATCCACATTGTATTTGAAATAACTTTGATTTGCATAATGTCCATCCCTCTTGGCATCTTGGAAAACACTCAGTATTGCTATACTTTTTCATTACGTCTTCTGTCTCCTTGTGTTGTTGCTTGATAAAGCAGCTGCAATGATGTGTCCTTGTTGTTGAATTGCATCCTGGATGGTTGCGGTGAATGCTGCAGCTTGGTTGCTCTGTTCTGCGCGTGTGGCTCTGACAAGCATCTCATCGACTGGACAGCCCTGAGTAAGGGTGGTTAGGATGGTTCTGGTGGGTGGGTTAGCATTCTCAAAAGCAAGGGATCGGAATAAATGTTCCTGAACGTCTGGTGGCACGTCAGGTGCGCCTTTCAAAGCAGCTGACAGCCTATCAATAAATTGTCCGAATGGTTCAGTGGCTCCTTGCTTTATGGTGGCATAGGATGCTGACTTTTTCTTGTCTGGTACCAAAAGCAAAGCTTGATGGGCCAATTGCTGTGACAATTTATGTATTTCAACAGGAAAGGTAAGTTGTACCTGATTGGTTGCATATGGTCCTTGCCCAGTCAGCATATCTGGCTGGACTCCAAAAAAGGGGTCTCCCACATTTGTGTGTTTGTTGGCCTCTTCAATTGCCAACCGCCTCCATTCCCTTTCAAATATGAGAAATTGGGAAGGTGTCAGGAGCAGGGATGCAATGTTAGATGAATCACCAGGACAAAGCACATCTGCTGTGAATATATACTGAATGATGTTCCTGGCTGCTTCTGATCTGATCCCATAAGTGGTGACTGTCTGCTTAGCTGATTGTAGGATTTTCCAGTCATGGGGCTCCCAGATGGCATTCCCATTAGACACTATAACAGGACAAGCCAGGGAGCTGACCGCCTTCCAGTCACCGTCCAAAAGAGCATCCTTCACAACTGATGCCCATCGGGACTGCAATGGATTTTTTAAAACTGCTGGCGATGCCAATTGCTGGCCAGTGGAAGGTTCCACTGGTGGAGCCTGACGATTTGAGAGGGTGGCAAGGCGGGCTATTTCTTTCTGTAACATATTTGGTCTTTGTATCTTGTTCTGTGATCGCTTGTCCCTGCTGCAATTGACAACAGAAAGGTCTGGTTCTGAGTCATCAGAATCTGAACTCGGTGGGAGGGGGCAGCGTAGAGCTATCGTGGTGGAGTGAGAACTGGCATTTTCAGGGTTCTGCTCTGGTGTTGTTTGGGTGGCTACTTCTGCCATTCCGCTAGCATTGGGGTGCCCAGCCCCTCCAAGCCGCGCCAGACTGCTGGCCGCCGCCGCCGCCGCCGCCGGGTATCGGCGAGCCGCTCCTCTGCGTCTGCATGCACCCGCGGCAGCCGCCGCCGCTGCCGCAGCGGGGGGGCGAGGGGCCGGCGCCGCCTCGCTCCCGTCTCCGCCCTGGTCTCTGCCTTGATCTCCGCCCCTGAGTTCCTCCTCCTGACTCAGCCCTGTTTCATCACCAACTCCGCCTGCCTCCTCAGGTGTCTCCCTGCCTCCCGAGGGACCCGGGAGGGCCACTTCCTGGTCTGCCTCACTTCGCGGAACCGCCGAGCTGCTAACATCCGCCGCTTGCGAGCACACTTCCGCTCCGGGCGCGGCTGCATTTTTGCTTTGTCTCGCGCCGCCCGGCCCTGCGCCGCCCGGCTCCGCGCCTCCCTCCAAACGAGCGACAACATCCCTGACAGAGGGGCTGACTGGAGCTTTCTGCCCTCGCACTGGCCGCATATTACAAACATTAAAAAATTTTTCAACCCGAGATGGCTTTTGAGCTTCTATCTGTTCTGATGTGGACTGCTCGAATGCCTGAATTGCAGCTTCCGCTGCTTTTTTCTCCGCGGCCATGCTCTGTAAGGTATGTAAAACTTTCTTCCAAACACCTCCAAGCTCCAATAGTGTTTTCTTGTCTTTTCTGCCCTCTATCACTGCATCCCAAAGCAGCTGCCCCAACTCTTGCCATTCGGTTTCACTAAAAATCAGCGAAGGTTTTTGCAGCTTGCCTTTGCTTCTTGCCCACAGGACCAACTGCTCTAAATCGGCTTCTTTAACTTTTTCAGCTCTCTTTGAGAGAATATGAAAGAGCAGCCGCACTGAAGCCTGTAAATCCCCATCCATGGTGAACTTTTCACCCTCTCTCTCTCTCCGCGGCTTACCTCAACCTCCGCGGGTTGCTCCGCTCTCGCTTTTCTTCGGCAAGGCAGCAACTCCGCTCCAGCTTCCCGGCCCCGGCCACGTCCACACCCGCCGTTCGGGTCTCTTGTGAACGCCGAGGTCTTCCCACTGCTCCAACGGACTCTCGCAAACAAACAACAATGCGAAGAGTCTTTTTCCTCCCGTTGGGAAACGGCCCAATTCGGAGTTTGGAGACTTCTGCTCCGTTCCACCTGATCCCCGTTCACAAAAAGTGAATTTGGGATCCCGGTCCCGTCACCATGAGGCGATTTGGACCTGAATTTTTGTCGCGCGACTCAAACCCAACTGCCCGTTACTCTAAAAGTAATTTAGCAGCCTTTTCGGAGCCTCCTGAGTCCCGGTCCGGGCGCCACTTAAAGCCAGGGAATCTCAGAAAAACGGGAAACTGGACAAGACAAACACACATCCAACCAATATGATTAATGCAACGTTCTCCGTTTATTCAAGATCAGGCGGTAGTTTATATAAGCTCCCACATAGTTTACAGAAACAAAGACACTCTAATTGGTAGGCTAACATTGTTTACCTTTTCCTTAAAAAGGCCTACACTTTACACCATAAAACCTATACTAACTCACACCCAGACAACCCGGTGGTCCCCACAACACCTTAAGACTATTTTCTATCTGTGCCACAAGCTCTGAATTTCTAACTGCGTCAGAGGCTTTGAAGGCCCCACCAGGCCTCAATCTGAGGCCTAGACTGGAGTAGCTCAACTTTCACAATTCATGTCCTCTTTCTCTCAAAAATGCTGCAACAGAGGTTCCTTTTCTGCTGTGTCCCTCCTCAGAGGTACCAGTGGGACCGGTTTCTGTTCAGCTATTACTGCAGCATGATTAAATAGTGGGAAGGATGCTGACATCTGGGACTCTGCTATGGGAAATCTGGGCTCCAACCAGCAAGGGAAACTTGTGTGAATGGGAGATGTGTGGGGAGTCAAGTGGGGTACCCATTGGGTCACTGGAACTCTCCCACTGCCAAGGGGCTTCAGTCCCAACACTGAGTGTCTGGGTGGTGGGAGTGTGACTGCCAGAGTGGTCAGACAGGAAACTTTCTTTAACATCAGGCTAGATTTTCATCTTCAGTTGTGACAGTAGGGAGTGAGATAAAAGTGTGAAATGCACTGGGAGACTGACACAGAAGTTTTCCTGTCAGTTCTTTTCCATGTCCAAGCTGTGCTGGTACAACTGCAGGCCAAGGATGAGCTGGGAATGACCTGTTAGGGGAAAAGTTTCTTTAAGCCAGTACAATGAGAAAATTGACCACAGCAGCACAGGACTGGGATATTTCAAGAATTTCAAGACAGATTCTTTCTTTCTGTTCCACGTGGGCAAATGCAAGGCTGCTTGTTATACTGTTTACAGCATTTCTGTGCTGACCTTGTCTGAATGAGCACAGATCTGTTGTCATGTGTGAGAGTGCATGATCAAACAGCCATTGCAAATGTAATACCAAATGTCAAGAAAATTTAATTTAATATTAAGATTTAATTTAATATTAATATGAGCTGAAACATCTCCCACTAATGATACAACTAATCACAGGATGCTGTTTTGCAAGCATCACTGTCAAATGCTTTAATAGTTTTAGTCAGAAGGTATTTCAGTGATTACAAGCTGCTTGTGATTAAAATTAGTACAATTACACTAATGGAACAGGATTTGTGTAGTTGCCCAAAGGCACATTTTGCAAAATAGGAAAATAGAACTAAATTTCTTGTATAAATGATAAAACAAACCTGGGACAAAGTTTGTTTGAAGGCTTATGTCAACATTCGTCCTAGTGACCCACGTGTTTTCTCTGCCAGTTTGTTTGCTTCTCTTTTATGTGGTCAAAGAAATTCCTTCCCTTTGAAATACAGATAAACTTCTCAACATAAAAATAGCATGTCTGCCAAAGAGGAAATAATAAATTTTATTGGTGAAAATAACCAAGGAATGATAGCAGAGATGTGCATTTTTCCTGCTCGATTAATAAGCACACGTGTTTACATTATTTTTTTCTGGAAAAAGCAGAAAAACTTCAGTAGTTTTCCCCAGCATGCTTTCTGAAAATTGGCAGATTAATAGGGTCTGAACTGATTCACACTAGGGCCACAGAGTTTAAGGGACAGTGTGATTCTGTGTTAACTCCTGCCTAGCTGACACTCTCCTGCCCAAATTCTGGTGGCTTTATTAGGTAGGAACCGCTGTCAGCAGAGTGGATTAATTTTTGTAAGCCTTGCCCACCTGATGTGAGGCAAGAAGTCTTTCTAAGAGCTTTGTCTGGTGGCTTTTTTGTGCCAACTTCTCCTGTGTGTTCATCTGGGCAACAGAACCATCGGACTGGGGAGGGGTACAGAGGGAATGTCTGTCCCCTGTGTCTGCTGAAGAGATGTTGGGGAAGCTGTCAAGGGATGAGTCTCCTGAAGAGCCTGGCAGAATGGAGGAGAAGAGCTGCTGCTGCAGGAATGGGGACAGGGTCACCTGGGGCTGTTTCAGATGGAGCTGTTCACACACAGAGCACAGCTCTCAGATCTCAGCTCTGCACCTGTGTCTGGAGAAGGTTCCTCTGTAGGGCTTGCAAGATAAGCAAAATGAGCAGCCCCTGTATTTTCACTCAGGGCAGCTGAAGGCAAGAGCTTCTTTGTCAAATAATTGGGGACATAAGGGAGAGAATCAGATTTTGATCCTCTGAGATTCCATTTACAAAGGCAAAGTGCTCAGCTCCTGGCTGCACTTCTTTGCCTTGATGTTAAGGCAATGCAGGTTCTCTTGACTTAAATTTGAATTTACTTTACATGTTGGTTTTGTTTTTCTGAAGTAGAAAAGACTTTCAAAGTCTCCAAACCATTATCTAGAAAACCTCAAAACCACAAAGATTACTAGATACATTTTTTAAAAAGTGATTAGTAAGTTAAAGAAATAAGATTTTTTTTTTCTCCAATCAGGTTCTAACTTCTGCATCTTGGGAATCTTCATTTATTTTTGACTTGTTAAAGGTAGAAATGTTGTTTTAGTTCTAGCTTTCTTGTATTGAGGATCATTTAGTCTGTTTTTAGCTCTCTTTCTCTAAAGCAGTTGGCATTGCTGTTTCACAAGCAGTTTATCATAGGTTTCAACCCGTGATGCTTTTTCGCTTACCAGAATCTGCTTTTCTTTTCAGTTTTGTTTTAACTCACTGGGGATTCATCAGAACAGAGTCTTAGCTGTTTGCAAAATAGTTAGGAAATCAGCTGAAAGACCTCTCTCCCAAAAACATTTTGAGTCATGCAGGATTATGAGCTCTTTGACAGGAGATTCTAAGGCCCAGGCATGTTTTTGCGGCCAGAAGAAGGTGAATGGGAGCTGAGATGCAGGGCAGGGATGTAGGCAGTCATGTTTTGATTTATGAATAATTTTCTAAATCCTCTGCATTTTTGGTCAATCATATACATGGAATAGTAATTAGAACTTTGACAAATTTCTGCGAACTTAAACTTGCTGAAGACATAGTTCAATGACTAGAAAGTGAAATTGAGCTTATTTAGCTGCTGCAAATAACTCTTGTGCATTCACCTGATGCATTAGTTATTTCAGGGGTTTGTGTTTGTTGTTAGTGGTATGGAGAGTTTGTTTGTTTGTTTGTTTGCTTTGACTATGAGTTCCCAAAAATCTTTAATTCAAGTTATACCAGACATGAAGTTCAGTGCTCAGATTATGGTACTTGAGTGGGACATGTTTTGGGACAGACAGTGCACTCCTGAAAACCTTTCTGATCCAATTGTTTATGAAATTCATGGCATCTTATTTGGTTAAAAGTTCTGAAAGTGCAAGCGCTACCACGACATTTTGCAATTGCACTTTTCTTCAGATAGCAGATGACTTCAGCATCTTGGGACGTGTATGCTTGCATGTGCTGTTCCCAGGGGAGCCTGGTGGATTAGGGGAAAAGGGATAATGCTTTCCAGTCCTCAAGCTTTGGATTTGGAGCAGAAGGTAAAGCAACCTGGAGATTGCTTTTATTTAAGGCAGTCTATATATATACCCAGTATATCTCACACTTTATCCAGGGCAATTGTTTAGCAGGGAAAAGGCCTCTAGAATGTTCTGCTGCTAACATGAGAGCCATCTGCAGAAATTCAAGATCATGAGCAACCTGTTGCAAAGGCTGTCACCAGTGTGACCTAACCAGAGGGATTTTTTAATACTTGATGACAGAACCAATAAGACAAGGAAGGGTTTTCTTCCTGTAAGAAAACACACAATTGCTCCATGCCATGGCAGCAGCTCTTCAGTGGAACAAGCACAGCACTCAAGATCCAATCAACTATTTCAGCAGTAGCTCAAGAACCTTTTATTAATATTTTGTCTAATATAGGGCAAAATCACAACTTTACTGTCTTATAAAACGAAAAATTAGTGCTGCTTGGGTGTTTAGAAAGTTGTTGTAGTAAAAATACAGAACAAATCAGCAAATAGAAGTTTGATGGTTGAAGGTATATGTCAGAAATAATTTAAATTTGGCTTTGCTACATGACAGAATTGACTATGATATGAGGGATATGCAGTTTTAGAAATTTTTATCTGCAGGGCAGCCCATGCAAGTCTTCATTTCCAGCCACACAGAAGCCTTCATTTCTTCTAATTTCTCGTATTGCTTCAGATTTCTTTAGGTAAAGCTGTTGCTATTATTATTAACCAGAACCTTATTTTCTACATTTCTGTTTATCACAGTTGATGTCATGATGGTACTTAGCACCACATGAGCATAAAACAACAACAAAATTCTTGTATAAGGGAACTTATTATCTGGATCAATGAAGGGTAAACTGATATGCCCAGAAAAGGAAGTATCAGGATTTGGAGCAACCAATATCAGCCAGTGCCAGCTGCAAGAGTCTGGGCACGTCAGGGCACATCAGTGGCCTGTTCACTTCAGAATTTCCTGTACTCATCACTACAAAGAAGAGTTTTGAGGTGGGTTTAAAGAAGGGTAATATATTAGTTCCAAAGGAGCTTTTTCCATGCCTGAATTAAAGCTCAGGAAAGAACCTGTCTCTGTGTTAAAAAAGCAGAAGGAAAAAGATGGAGGTGGGCTGGACACTGACCTGGAGAAACAGAATGGTACCAAGTCAGCTTTCTTCAATGAAAATTAATTTTGCCTATTTAGGAGTAAATAATTACAGTGGTTTATCATTATTCCTTTTTATATTTTAAGTAATTATATTTTCAGTACATAATACAGAAATTCCTCCGCCTTACCTACCTGAGGGGAAAAAAGACCCTGGGAGTTTGTGGGAGTGTGACAGAGTCCATCTGCCAGGCCTCCCCATATTTATATTCCAGTCATCCTGCCATCAGAAAAACCTCTATAAGCCTAGTTTGGAAAATGTATTAGCAATATCAGTTGTGGTAATAAAAAATGAGTGCCTCTCAGATTCAGGATTTGAGCAGCAGGACCTACTCATGGTGAGTATTATTGAGTTAACTTTAGCTTTTGATCCTCCAAGGATTTTCCAACCTGAGAGGTTTTGTGCAAGCACTTCTATTCCTAAATTCTGGTCTCCAAAATCTCCCAAGCACGTGGTCTGTTGTAAAGCTGCTTACTTTTTGTCAACAAGCAATAGTGTGAAACAACTGGAGAACTCTGCAGGCTGTTTAACTCAGTGCTACTTTCCCCCCAAGCATGCATGAGTGTGTATATTCCAAGGATGTTGCTCTGAGCAATCTGAAGATTGCTTGATAGAGGTTCTTTATGTCTTGCATTACAGTTCTAGATGTTATCACATTCAAAATGTATTTGAACTTTTTGGTAAATATTCAGCATCTCTTTGAAGCAGAAAACATATCACGGCCCTGTTCTGTAAGAGCTGGCAACAGTGGTTTTAGCTGCTGGGGGCAAATTCACGTGGGAACATTGATGCCTTCGGAATAGTCTCCTTCATTTCAGCCATCGCAAAGGGCCTGCTAAATTCTATCCCTGGAGAGTATAATTAATAAAATCTTACAAAGAAATTCAGTAATAAATATTCCAACAGTCATGTGAAGAGTTGTAACTATGCTGGTGCACTGAAAGGCTAGAATATTAAACCAGGAGGGTGACTCTTTTTTTTCCATTTAAAAGTGTCAGAAATGTGAATAACAGACAAAAGATTTCTAGTGCCTTGATTCTTAAATGTTCTGCTCTGAAGTTTCCCCACCATCAGCACCAGGTTCAGTGGTTATGAAGTGAGGTGACTTAGAAGACCATAGCAAAATCTGAGCACCAGACTTGACTAGAAGCAGAGAACATCACCCTTTTCCATGTGACAGTCTTTTTCAAATTCTTGAAACAGAATTTGTGAGTCTCATCTACCCCCAGACTGATTGATTGATTGATTGATCAACTCTGTGTTTACGTAAAAGGATCAAAATGGTTAAAAATGGCTCTCAATTAATACCATTGTAAATTTTATCTCTGCTGATTTTCAGTGACATAACTGAAAGCAGAGTTTGACTGATAGGAGTTCAATATCCTGTCTCTCCAGCTACTTGCAGCAAAAGAGCAACATTTTTTCCTTTCCCATGTTCAAGTTGTGACTCACAGTTCAGCAGCTAAGTGGGGCATACATTTCAAGAACGAGGCTATGAAATCACTTGCAAGTCTGACATTTCCAAAGCAATGTCACTGAATGATCTTGTGCTAACTTGTGTCTTGGGGTGCATCAAGCACAACACATCACCAGCTGGCTGGAGGAGGTGACTGTCCTGCTCTACTTGGCACTGGTACAGCCTCACCTCAAGCCATGTGTGCAGTTCGGGGCACCACAATACAAGAAAGACATAAAGGTTTCAGGGTGTGTCCAGAAAGAAGAAAAATTAAAAATTACTTCTGCTCCAGTTTTGCTTACCAACCATCCTAGGGCAATGAAGCATTATTTAATTGTCCTTGGACTACTCTTCACAGCTTTATTAGCACCCATATTGAAGAGAAACAATGGGTAACATTGCAAAGTCCCTTGGACCAGGCTAAGAAGTTTCCTACCGATGTCCTAAAACCAGACCCCAGGGAGGCAGTAGACTTCCCTAAGAGGAGGGTCTGTCTGGCATGTAGGACCCTCTGTTCCCCTCAGAAAGGAGTCACCTACAACTATTACCCACCCTTCCTTTCTCATGGAGGTGACCTTGATACAGAGGGCAGCCCATTCTGGCCTGCACAGGACCTCTGGTGTAGCTCGACCATCCTCCACATCATCCACTGAGTGGCCTTCCACATGCAAAGCCTCATTCCTGCTCTACAGAGGCATCGAGGAAGGTGAGGGAAGGCAAGGAGGGGCTTCTCCTGCCACGTGTGATACGAGAACACAGGCCCACAGTGACTCTCTTTGCCAGCAGTTCTTTTCTTGGGAGGTTCTTTGACTTGAAGTTCCTTTCCACTTATGAGTAAGATGTTTTCATTCCAAGCTGTAATTGGTGATATGAGCCACACAGTTAAAGTTCTTTCAGTGCTCTCTTTTATATGGTTGTTCAATGTACAGCAGATGACACGACTTTTACCCCTGAAATTACTGGAGTGAACTCACTCTGATGAACTTTCTGATACTGGACTGACCTGGGTCTAATCAAGAAGGAAAATATGGACAGCAAGGGAATGAATACATAGAGAAGCTCTCTGATGACAGTGGCAATGGAAAGAATGTCAGCATGTAAGGCATAAGAAAAAGACAAAAATATGCCTGTGGCTAAGGATGCAGGATGCAATTTTTAAAAGTTATATAACTCAGTTTATTTGGGAATTTAGGCCTCTCAGTTTAAGTTTAATTTTCTGATAAATTTTGCATTATTTGCAATCAATTTACTGGTCTCTGCTTGGAGGCAAGAAAAATAAGCCTCACATAATTTTTCCTTTAAAAGGCTGGAAAAGTGATACCTGCCCTTGGAATAACATACAGATGAAACAGCCTACCTTCCCAGTAGATGTGCTAGGAAAGAGAGCCTGGAAACCACAAGATGGTGTATAGTAGGAGTGAGGACCAAAGTATAATCTCTCTAGGTTCTGTATTCTTCATTTTATTCCTGGATTTGCACACCTGCAAGCTAGATGGATCTACAAGGACCAGATAGGCCTGAGTTTCATTCATCAGGTTGCTCTCTCCCAGTTTGAAATTCTTCCTCAGAAGGCCAGAATCCATAATCCAAGTGACATCAATTCACACCAGATTTAGATGCTTATGCACATTTTTGCTAAATCCAATTAGCTGTCAGAGTTGAACTCTGAAAAACCAGGTGAGGAGTAAAGGGTGTGGTAACTTGCTGTTGTACTTCAGTCCCTAACAGCACTGAAAATTTTGGGTGTATGCAAAGCAATTAACTCCTAAATTTACTCTTTGTCTAATAAGAGTCTCAGGCATAGATGAGCCTACATAAACACCAAAATAGGAGCTCTAATCTGCACTGTGGTAGTTATTGTCATAACAGGAGTGGCAGCACAAAACAAAGGGAACTTGAGAGCTGGCACAGATGGGTTTCCCTACAGTGTCTGACCAGACAGAGCTAGGAGAGTGAGATCTAAAAACCCTGCTGGATTTTCTCTGAAGTCCGTATGTTACTTGAAAGGGCATTAGAAAGATGCACCTGTTCCTAGCTGGGGAACTTGCTAAAACACCTTAAGCCTACACATGACAATCTGTACCCAGCCCATATGTCAGCAGATGCAGCTTTAAGTTCACAGGGGGAAATGAGGTTGTGGGGACTGGGGAGACTCTTTGCTCAGTAAATTGTTGAGAGTTGCCTTTTTTCTGTCTAGTAAATTTTTCCATTGCTTTCTGTGAATTTGCAGCCCCCAAGCTGGGCAACTCCCTGGGGGCTCCCCTGGCAGGGGAAACCCTCCTGGAGCAGTTCTCTGTCAGGAACCAGAGACACACTGGACTTTTTCAGTCTTCCGCTTCTGTTTATTGGTATCAAAACTTCAGCACACTGTCTGTACCAGATTATGCATGCATGAAAGACAGCACAAAATTGGCTAACAATCTCTAGTTACAAGGCCTTTTAAGTTTAATCAAAAATTAAGCTACCCAATTAAGAAGTGGCATCTAAATTATTTTCCTTTCTAACACAATAACTGACCCCTAAAGACCCGCAATGCAGATTTTTCTACCCAATTACAAGATACCACCTAAACCCAAGAAGAAGAAAGAAGAAAAAAGAAGAAATTAACTCAAGACAATACCCTGTACCCTCCATCTTGTATATTCATCTATAACATACTAAAAATCCTAAAACCTAAATTTCTTACCCATGTGATATATTACACTACTCTACAATCTCTACAATCTATTTCACACTTTTGTGGTTTCTATTTACCTTGAGGCTTTGGAAGTTTTCTCCATGAATGAGTGTCAAAGGCAGTGCTCCCCTGGGGGTCAGGACACCCCAGAGCAGACAGAGAAATATTCCCAGTGCCCTGGGTTTCCACAGCTTTCTATGGTGTAAATGCATTTTGCAATCAGTGTACCATTTCACAGCTTCCTCTTTCTGCTGTGCACAGCAGCAGCAGCAGTTACTTGTGCTGAAGGCAGCTGGCATGGGACGAACAGGGGTTATTGGGAGGCAGTCCCCGATGGAAGACTGAAAAGAAACTGAGTCAGTACCTCAGAGGAAAGTACAGTTCATCTGGGTGCTGGCATATGTGCACTGTCACTATGAAAGCAGCTTGCCATGGCCAGCCCCAGGCAGGGCTGGAAGGTGTAAGGACTGACAAAACACAACCCGTCCGAGCTCATGGCTCTGGCCATGACTAAAAAAGCAGGTTCTTCCCCCAGATGTTGCTCCTCTTCCTCCTTGTCCAGACCAGCCCTTTGGACTACAGAATAAACCAGCCTGAGCTACAGTACTAAGGTTGAGTGTAAAGTCTGGAAAGCATTAATTGACTTAGAGCCATTAAGCCTCACCCTGTCTCGCATCCTCAGAGCCAATCAAAGTTGCAGCGTTGCTGTGGCAGAAAGAGAGTGCTGTTCAGTCCAGAACAGGGCTGCAGGAGTAACCTTTGTGCCCAGAACACAGATGAAGTTTGGGAGTATTAAACCGAAGGAAGCGAGCGATGGAGAGGGAGGCAGGCTTTCAAAGGAAGTCTTGGGGTGGGGTGGTAAAACTCAAGCAAAGCAAGTATGTGATATCCAGAAGGGAAGAAGACACTTACTGGATCCACATGTCACAACAAAGAGCAATAGAAAGAAATCTCCTTAAATGTGGGCAGATAGAGCATTAGGGAGATCCAGCATGTCTTTCACACATATCCTCAGCCCCTGAAGCAGGAATTCAGCTCCATCACTCTAAGTGCTCTGAAGTCTTCATATAAGCCCTTAGCCAGAAGCCTCCCCCAATGTGTTCTGTAGACTAAAGGCCACTTTAGCTGGGGAAAGATAATGATAACAGAATGTGGCCTCACTTTCTAGTCAGGATTCAGCTACTTCCTATGGTTTCTTCTCCTTGTTTTTTTTTCCCCTCTGGTTACTTTTAGACAGCTACACATGATCTTAGGAAATGGTTGGAGGGTGTGATCCTGTTAGAAGCAGAGAAATTACCTTTTCTGTTCTATGCTTCAGTTGTAGGCAGAAATTCCAGAGTTCCCTCCTTGCACACTGGGTACAGCTTTATGTGAAGGACTCAGTGTCCTGTGGCAGAGTACTTTATAGTTTTATAAGGTGACCTAACTTCTTGAGGAAGCTTCAGAGCATTCATCCCTATTTTTTGTGCTTAAGGAATGGTTTGTTTGTCTTCTCTGCAAGAGCAGTAACAGCCTAGCAAGCCATGAGGCAGAAGAGGGCTGACACTTACTCTCCCTGCAGAGCTTTCTCAGAAAATATTACCTAACTCACTTTGTTGATACTTGGTGGATCAGTGGCCAAACTTCACCATATTAGGTTATATTAATAAAAAAAAAAAAAAAAAAAGCATCCTAAAGAACGCTTTGTTTTACAAGCCCCTACACATCTCTTTGCCTCACTGCATATACTACAGCAAACCAGTTAGCTCCATTTAGAGCTACGGAAAAGTACCACAGAGGAAAAGACTGCAGTTTTCAAAGTTGCTTCTGTAATTCCTTCTAGTACTGTACAATACTGAACTCAGAAACATCTATGTAACTTGAAATTTCATTGTCCTTAATACCATTTTCACCAAGAAAAACTACTGCAAATGAAAGTGTTCATAGGTACAGACAGTTAAAGGAACCTTTGAAAAATCTGAGCCATCAGGTAATTTTTTAAAAGCAGTTTTTTAAAAAGTTGATTTTGAATGAGCTATTGTGTTTCAATTAATAACTCCATAGGAACTCCACCACATTATCACTCTGTGTATTTTCTGCAGAATAATGGGATTTCTCCTGTTTCTGAAACAGTAGCTGAGCAATTCCAGAGCTCTTCAGTACTAATACATAGTGGTGAAGGAAGGAGGGACAGAGAAGTGCATGCAGAGAATCCTGTTATCCCAGGCAGTGTGGTAAACTCTCATACGGATACAAGCCAGAAGGATGTGGAAGCCATAGGCTTCATTCCCCCACAGATTATTAGTTTCTGACTTAACAGTGAGATGTAATCTCTAAAGAGTGTTTGGAGATGAGGTCTGATCAATGTGCTGGCTCAAACGAAATAAATTCTATCACCTATTTCTCATTGTTTGAGTAGGACAATTTGGGAAATTATATTCCTCTGCTTCACACAAGCTGGAATACCTCTCCTTTAAAACACAATCAATTTAGCAGCTTCAAAGGGGTAAAAAAATGAATGTTTGTAAGGCCTTGACCAGAAGGGAACTATTTGCATACCACTACAGGAAATTATTTTTATATATCCTGGTAAAGATTTGTGCTTTGTTAAGACATGAATACAAAGAGCAGTGCCCCTTTGGATGAATACAGCAAAACCTCTAAACCTTTTTGGGTTATTTCTGCTGGGTCTGATCATTATGTACAAAGCTCATTGCTGCCTGATCCAATGAAGAGTAGGGGGGCAGACTGGGAAGATGCTCTGAGCTGTAAGGTGATGGAAAAGGCATCTCTGTAATGGGTGGTGATGGGAGCCTTTCCTTGTTCAGTTTAGTTAAAATCAGGCACAGATCTTTGTGGAGACATGGAGAATGGTTTTGGTTTCTCTGCCTTCCGAAGAAGAACATACAAGAAGTCTCATGGCAACTAGGACCAGCTGCTGGAGTAATGAATTTTTATGAAGGGATTTCTGGCAACCACATTAAATAAAGCCTTCAGCCGACATGTCGGCTCTCTGAACTAATTTTTATATCATCAGACTGCAGATGGGTGATTTGTTGCAGCACTGGCAGACAGTTAACTCATAACTGCACATTTGTTGCAGTTATGAGCTCCTGCAACAAAAGACTTCTACTTGACAATGTTTTCAAGTTTGCAGTTTCCCTTCTACTCAGGGCAATGGTAGTACTAGAGCTATGAAAGGGAGAAGAGGAAAGACTATTCCTTCAACCCCCAGACCCAGTTGTTTTATTAGTTTTAATACCAGTTGAACCTCTTTACATCTTACTACTGGTTCTAGCTTATAAGATATTGGAATTCTTCACACCTGCAGTTTCTTTAACATGAGACAAAAGTTCACCCTTCAGTGACTGATATTTCAGTCCAAATTAGCCCATATTATGTCATTCAGCAATACTAGAGGAACAAGCTCTGTTTCCCTTTATATGCATCATCTCCAAGATTTCAAGACTGAGGATGGAAAAACTGTCAGTGTTGTAGCAGAGGACATGTGCAAGCAGATGAAAACAGAATCTATTCTGTAGAGTGCAGGAGAGAGCTGTTGCCAAACACTTTTGAAAAGAAATGCCATAGAAATCAAGCGAGGAGGTTTGTTTTATGACAGTAGTTCTTCTCCACAATGTTCATTGAAATAGGAATTCTGTGATTTTCACCTCAGACTCCACGGCATTGAAGAATGCCAGAATTCAGAGTAAGTTCCTTCTTCAACTTATTTAACACTGTCATGGTGATTATTCACTGATGATATAACCACCACACCACTTTGTCAGCATTGTTTTTTGTCATGGTTTGATGCTGGCACAATGCCAGCGCCCCATGAAAATGCAACTTACCAATCAAATGCTGTGAAATGCGATCGAGAACAGAGCAAAGCAGGCCAAACCTAATAACAAAGGAAAAACTTTATTACACTACTACTAATACTATAAAGGAAAAAAGAAAAAAAAAAACACACAAAATTCAAAATGAAAACCTTCCAAAACATTCCTCCTCCCACCACCCAACTCCAACAAACCACAGTGAGACCCAGTTGGATCCTTAATCAAATTTTCACCCTTCAATATAATCAATACTGAGTCCATCGGGGAAGAGAGGAGTCCCCCTTGCACCATAGACCCCCGGGAAACACAGCTGCCACCTCTTGTGTTTCCATGTCACACATGGCACTGTCCAGACACACTGGCCAGTGTGACACTCTCCTCTCCATGTCACAGTGCTCTCACCACCGTGCATGGACAGAGACTGCTTATAGGGCCCCTTTAAGGATGCTTTGCCAAGGACCAACAGGAACAACAGTCTAGTGTCTCATTTCGGGACTACCGTTCCCCCCATTTTCCCCTGGGGCCAAGGATCCAAGAACAGAGATCACCTTCTCTTCTTCTCTGAAGACGGAGGGCATCCTCACACCCTCCTCAGCTCTCTCTCTGTTCATTCCTAAACTGGTAGTTGCTGAAGAAGGTCTCTTGGCTCACCAGTGCATCCCCCTAAAATGCAGTCCCTCTTGAGAGAAGGAGTGGTTCAGTCTATGGTTAACAAGAAGAGTCCAGCCAAAAGCCACTCCATCATCTCCCCCCAACCTTCTTCTCTGAACATCTGAGGTCCCAGGCTGTCTCTCTTTCCTTCAAATTGAGAAGGAGTAATATTTCATAAAGCCTTCATTTCACAGAAAAGGGTTAAAATTCCTGGACTCCCTGGACGGCTGAAATCTGGCCCAGGACTCCGTCTCCCATCTCCCACACTGGGCATCTTTTTCCCCCACCTTCTCCTCTGCCAGCAAACTCCCAGGTGCTTGCAGTCTCTCTATCTCTTTCCCTCTAGACTGGGGGGGGGAACAAAGACATCTCAGATGTTCTCCACCCTTCCGTCCGCAGGAGCTGGCCCAGCTCGGTTCCCGATCCTTCACCCCCTGGCCTACCTCTGCAGGCCACATGGCTCCCCTCCCCCACCCAGCCCGGACTGGAACCAGAGAGAGCGAGTTCTCCTGGGAATTCCGCTTTTAACCCCTCTGTGTTCTCAGAGGCGTGTCCACCTTCAATTGGTCACCCCAAGTGTCAGTATTCAAACCTGACCCCTGACTGGATTGACCTCTTCCTTCCAAAAAAATTCTTTTCCTGTGTCAAACCACGACATTTTTATTTCAAGAGCTTGTGTCCTACTGGTGCTCTGCAGATCATTTGGTGCAGTGA